GCAAAACGTATACGCTAATAAATTTTATTATACTATACTGAATAGTTAATCTATACGCATACTCAACATATATATATCCCAAAACTTGACGACAATTTAATATCTATATATGGGAAAAACTTCACTCTTGAATACACTGATCCGCAATTTTTTATCGATGGTAAAAAGATCACACCAAATCTTAAATCAGACATGTATAGTCTTGGAGTAATATTATGGGAGCTTACTAGCGGAATTCGACCTTTTTTTACAATTAATAATAAGGCATCTTTAAATTTAAGTATTTCACAAGGCAAACGAGAGAAACCGATTCCTGGCACACCTTCAAGATATGTAAAAATTTATAAGAAATGTTGGAATACTAATCCGAAAAAATGTCCGGAATTAGATGAAATTTTACATACAATTCAAAAATTAAGAGAAGCAACAGAATTCATTTTTAATGAAATATTCCCTAGTATATAAGTCTCTCATGCGATTACTGTGCCAAATTGCGATAATTGAGTGACAGCTGTTAAAAATTTATAGTAATAATTGGATGTGAGACTTTTTACTATAGATGCAGACTTATTTACGTAATTAGTTACGGCTAAATTGCGTTTTATTTTATAACCCGATTTTTTATATAGGACGTAACTAGGTGATGTCATAAGTCTGCATTTATACTTTTTGCTCAAAATTTAGGCATATAAAATAGATTCTGGAATTTCTACGCATAAAAAAGCTTCATAGAAAAATAGAACAATTTCATAAAAAATTTTTTTTTCATTTGTTACGGTATTTGAAAAATTCCTATGACGTATCCTTATATATGTAAATTAAACCGTTATTTTTACTACATTTGTTATATTCATGACATTTTATTTTGGGAGCTAGTATACGTACCCCCCACTTTTGGTATTCGTACCTCCAAATTTTAGAAAAGTGCTTTAAAAGAGGTAATCTTAATAAGTAAACCTTCTTTTTTGGTCTAATTAAAGTTGTTCTTTAGGCTTTTCCGGTTCTAACAGTAGTAA